CGCGCCGGCAGTTTCGGGCCTACACCTCCCCTCCCCCCGCCAGCCGCCAAAGACTTGACCACGTAACGAGCCCAACTCCCCCGAACGCCGCCCGCCGCTCGCCATGGATGCCGGTGTGACCGAAAGCGGACTAAACGTGACTCTCACCATTCGGCTCCTGATGCACGGGAAGGAAGTGGGAAGCATCATCGGGAAGAAAGGGGAGTCGGTGAAGCGGATCCGCGAGGAGAGCGGCGCGCGGATCAACATCTCGGAGGGGAACTGCCCCGAGAGGATCATCACCCTCACCGGGCCCACCAATGCCATCTTCAAGGCCTTCGCCATGATCATCGACAAGCTGGAGGAAGACATCAACAGCTCCATGACCAACAGCACGGCGGCCAGCCGGCCCCCGGTGACCCTGCGGCTGGTGGTGCCCGCCACGCAGTGCGGCTCCCTGATCGGCAAGGGCGGCTGCAAGATCAAGGAGATCCGCGAGAGCACGGGCGCGCAGGTGCAGGTGGCGGGGGACATGCTGCCCAACTCCACCGAGCGGGCCATCACCATCGCGGGCGTGCCGCAGTCCGTCACCGAGTGCGTCAAGCAGATCTGCCTGGTCATGCTGGAGACGCTCTCGCAGTCCCCGCAGGGCCGCGTCATGACCATCCCCTACCAGCCCATGCCGGCCGGCTCCCCGGTCATCTGCGCGGGCGGCCAGGACCGCTGCGGCGACGCTGCGGGCTACCCGCACGCCACCCACGACCTGGAGGGGCCCCCGCTGGACGCCTACTCGATCCAGGGACAACACACCATCTCGCCGCTCGATCTGGCCAAGCTGAACCAGGTGGCGAGGCAACAGTCGCACTTTGCCATGATGCACGGCGGGACCGGGTTCGCGGGCATTGACTCCAGCTCCCCCGAGGTGAAGGGCTACTGGGCCAGTCTGGACGCGTCCACCCAGACCACGCACGAACTCACCATTCCCAATAACTTGATCGGCTGCATAATCGGGCGCCAGGGCGCCAACATCAACGAGATCCGCCAGATGTCCGGGGCGCAGATCAAAATCGCCAACCCCGTGGAGGGCTCCTCCGGCCGGCAGGTCACCATCACCGGCTCGGCCGCCAGCATCAGCCTGGCGCAGTATCTCATCAACGCCCGGCTCTCCTCCGAGAAGGGCATGGGCTGCAGCTAGAGCGGCGGCCCCCGAACCCCGCGCTGTTTCCCATGATCCAACTGTGTAATTTCTGGTCAGTGATTCCAGGTTTTAAATAATTTGTAAGTGTTCAGTTTCTACACCTTCTCATCCGCTAAGAATTTAAGAAAATCACATTCTCTCTGTTCAGCTGTTAACGCTGGGATCCATATTTAGTTTTATAAGCTTTTTTTCCCTGTTTTTAGTTTTTTTTTTGTTTTGGGTTTTTTTTTTTGGCTCATGGATTTTATTTTCTGTTTGTCGATAAGAAATGTAAGAGTGGAATGTTAATTTCAGTTTAGTTCTGTAATGTCAAGAATTTAAGAATTAAAAAATGGATTGGTTAAAAACTGCTTCCTATTTGAAAAAGCTGGGAATTGCTGTCTTAAACTCTTTGTTGGTGCTTTTTTTTCTCTTCGTGCTAAGCGCTCCGAGGGCCGCGGGCGGAGGGCGGGCCCGCGGGCGCTCCCCCAGCTCCCCGCCGCCTTATCGGTGAGAATCCACTCCTTCCGCCCCAACAAAGGAACGCGGCGGCCTGCCCGCCCTGGGAGGTCGGGGCTCCTCCGGGGCGGGATCCCCACCCCCGGGCCGGAGAGGGGCCTCTGCCCATTTCCCCGGTAGAAAGCGCGAGGTGCCCTCAGGTGGAAGAAAGTACCCGCTCCGTAGGACCCAATGAATGGCCCTCCTTCCCCTCCGAGCCGGGCCCCTCCACCCGCCCCGCAGGAAGCTCAGCCGGGAACAATAAACTATCCCGGGGGGGGGGGCGAGGGGTGGGCGGAGGGCGCGACAGCTGCGGGGTGGCGGCGGGGACCGAGGCCGGGCGGCGTGGGGGATGGAGCCCGGGACGCACGTGGCAGCGCGCACCTGTGGCGGCGGCCTGTCAGGCTCTTACACCTGTCAGGCGGTGTAGCCAGAAACAAAAGGCCCGGGTCCCCACGCCTTCAGCGGTGTGCAATGTGCGGGGTCTCCTACCCGGAGAAGCCCGCCCTCGTGGGGGTCCTTGAAGGCAGGACCCATTGACCGAGCCTAAGCAGATTACCGGCTCTCACCCCAGAACTGCCAGAAAACTGCATTTTTAGCAAACGCCTAAAAGGTCTGAGTGCCACACTTTCTCCTAAGTGAGTGAGAAAGATTTTGTGGTAAAGGCCTGCCCAGCCTTATGTCCACATCAGCTGCAAGAACTAGGCCGAACTTGAGGAGGAAAATTCTCTGCTGGGCAGGAGCCAAAGAACTGCAAACCCCAGGTCCTACACGAGAGAGTGATAGCAGCAAAGGTGAACTCCCGTGTTGGAGAGTGATCCACAATACACACTGGCTGAAGATTCTCTGCAGAACGTTGCTTCTGGGCCGAGGCCGGGCTGAGAGTCCCTGGAGGTAAGACTGCCATGCACTTCAACTGGGGTCAGACAGGCACTCAGCGAGAGGCGCCCGAATTCTGGAGTTAGAGTTTGGGTTCTGCCAAGGGGCCTTGGGCAAGTTACTTAAACTCTCTGTAAAATGAAGGTGTTGAAGGTACACACCTGGGTTTGAGAAAGTGGGAACTTGTATTTAAGGTGGAATAGCGTTTAGAACATAGTAAGCTTCAAAAAAAACCAAAAAAGAACATAGTAAACTTCAATAAACTTAGATTCCGAAAGACCAAAAGGCCTACTTCTGGGGATGGCCTGGAATTTCATCGGAACAGAGAAGACAAGCGGGGAGCGAGCGGGCTGGTGGCACACTCCTGTGATCCCAGCACTCGGAGGCTGAGGCAGAAGGATCCAAAGTTCAAGCCCACCGTGGGTAACTTCAGATTCAAAATTTAAAAGATAAGGCTGAGGATTTAGCTCAGTGCAACAGGACCTGAGTTCAATCCCAGTACCAGGGAGAACAAGTAGGAAAGAAAGCAGTAAGGTGTGTACCGAGCTGATGGACATGCCGGGCTGAGCGGCCAAGGGGCGAGGGGAGGGGAAGCTGGTAAAGACCCCACAGTGGCACAGTGTCCCCCGCAGTGAGCACCGAGCAGGCGAGTGAGTAATACATGGCGCCCTCCAAACGCCCGCCGCAGTGTGAAGCGGTCTCGAAGCTCACCAGGTGACGTGGTTCAAACGCACTACTGGGGAAAGGACTCAGACTTCCTCACGCTCCTCCCACTGTTCCCTTCAATGGGGGAAAACTGGCAAGTCTGTAAAATTTGGGCAGCCAGGCATACACTGAATTACACCCCGGAGAGACAAAAGGTAGGACAGCAGTTGGAAAACTACCTCAACAGAGAAGCAGTTTTTGGTTTTGTTTTGTTTTGTTTGACACAGTCTCCCTCATTCTCCTGGCCTTGAAATCACTATGGAGCGCAGGCTGGCCTTGAACTTGCGTTGATCCTGCTGCCTTAGGAGTGCTGGGATTACAGGCCTGCACCACCACGCCCAGAATACTGAACCAGTTCTAACGCAGGCAGGCAAGTGGTAACAATAGGAGCGCAAGGAAACGGCCCAGTCAGAGCCAGAAAGGCCGAAGCTGGGTATGCAGCTAGACACGAGGACCTGGAGGAGGCGGCCCAGGGAATCCGGCAGGGCTGGAAGGGTGTGCAGGCAAAAACACTGACTCATAAACAGGCAGAGAGGAGAC